GTGCTCGTGGAAGTCAGAAGACAATGTGTAAGAGTCGGTCTTCTCCTTCTACCATGAGGGTCTGGGTACTGAACTAAGTTGTCGGGCTTGGTAGTGAGCACCTTTCCCCACTGAGCAATGTGTTTTATACAACAGTAAAACTCTGACAACACTGTCATCTGTAGTAACGGGTAGAAGATGGAGGAGAGGACACGGGGAATCTGTGGAGTTGGTGGAGGTGGTTTCCAGGAGATGCTCCAAGTGTCGACTGGTTTCTTTTAACAACTTATGATAATAATGAGAAGAAAGAAGACAAATAATTGACTGTTGGGCTTTTTAGTAGCATACTAAGGAAATATTTCCAGCTTAGCCCCAATACCTCCCCAGAGACCCCCCTTCCATACAATTCCATTTAAATGAGTTTGGAGGAGAAACTTTCAAATCAAAGCACTACAATAAAATATAATTTTAGTGTCAACACAGCCAAGAGGGCAGCAGCAGGGCCCTTTATTAAACCTCCGAAGGACAGCACCTGCTCCCACACAACTAGATCAAGAGAATCGGAATGCTGGGTGTGTGCCCATAGTAACCAAACCTGCAGACCAATCACCTCAGAGGGAAGCCCGCCACAGAGCAATCCGGGTGTGTGGGTTTTCACCAGAGGAGCGGTTTATAATCTGGGGTGTGATAAACCCACAGCCGGGGCTAGAGGAGCAGTTTATAATCTGGGGTGCAATAAACCCACAGCCGGGGCTAGAGGAGGGGTTTATAATCTGGGGTATAATAAACCCACAGCTACAGGTAGAGGAGCGGTTTATAATCTGGGGTGTGATAAACTCACAGCCGGGGCTGGAGGAGGGGTTTATAATCTGGGGTGTAATAAACCCACAGCCGGGACTAGAGGAGCGGTTTATAATCTGGGGTGTAATAAACCCACAGCCGGGACTAGAGGAGCGGTTTATAATCTAGGGTGTGATAAACCCACAGCCGGGGCTGGAGGAGTGGTTTATAATCTGGGGTGTAATAAACCCATAGCTGTGGCTACAGTGATGACTCGGGGGTGACCAGCCCTGGCTACTCTTGCAGAGGACCTGGGTTCGGTTCCTAGAATCCACACAGCAGCTCACACTGTTCCAGTTCCAGGAGATCCAATGCCTTCTTCTGGCCCTCTGCAGACAACATTCACACACGTGGCAGACAGACATACATGCAGATAAAGCACTCAGACACAGAAAATTATTAAATCAATCCTAAAAATAAAGCCCACATGTTTATGGGAGATACATACAATTGAATCAAAATGAACAGCGGCCGTTCAAATAGGGATCAAAATGAAAGAAGTCTGTGGGTTTCCAAAGTTCACAATCGGGACTGAGCGGTCAGCAGCGGAGGGGGCCACTTCCCCAGAGACACCACCGGAGGCTCCAGGGTATTTCTCTTTTTAAAAAATTATGCCAGGCAGTGGTGGCGCACGCCTTTAATCCCAGCACTCGGGAGGCAGAGGCAGGCTGAACTCTGTGAGTTCGAGGCCAGCCTGGACTACCAAGTGAGTTCCAGGGAAGGCGCAAAGCTACGCAGAGAAACGAAAAAAAACAAAAAAAAAATTACATATTTTATGTTTATGGGGTCATGTGCATGCCATAGTGCCTGTGTGAAGACAAGGGAGCAATGTGTGGGGATTGGTTCTCTCCTTCTACCAACGCCTGCGTCCCTAGGATCCCGCTCATGTTGTCAGGCTTCGGGCGACTGCCTTTAGCCTTCGAGCCGTTTTGCCGGCCCAGCAAGGGCATTTAAGCTTTTAGGAAACACAAATCTAAATTTCAGTGACATATACCAATTTGCACACAGCAGGGTGCTGGCCAAAGATGTGAAGAAATCCGATCCCTATCCTCACTACCGGCAGGAATAGGAAAGAGTACAATAATTTTGGAAATGTTGACTTTTCCTTAAAATGTTCCTTAAAAAGTGAAATCCAGAGTAGCCATTCCTTTGCTTCCCATATAAAAAAGCTAAACGCACACCTTCAAACCTTCACGTGAATGTTGATGTGCAGACAACGGTTCCCCAGAAAAGCCCCGTCCCCACACTACCCGTCAGCCAAGCCATGAGCCCTTGTAGCCTGGCTCCTAGTAACCCATGTCTTCCACAGACATCAGCAGCCTAACCCCTTATGGCTCAAGGAACCTTCCACAAAGGGTCAGCCTTGAGAAAAACAACGTGCACAGGAAAATATACCCCTTAACAAGACCATGAGGGCCTGTGCCATCTGGTTCAAGCCTGTCAGGCACCCACAGTGAGACTGTCACCCCTTCACTCCTGTAAAGAGGACTTTACCCCCTCCCTCCCTCCCTCCCTCCCTCCCTCCCTCCCTCCCGGGAGTGCCATCCCATCTCTGGGCATCCACCCACGGCTTCTCTCCGGTGTGTTTCAATAACGCATCTCCTCGTCTGTTCGAGTCTGCTGACTTCTTTTTAGCACATGTGCTGCTGGCCTCCTATAGGCCGATTCACAGGGCAGGCAGTAACGGTGTTTGTGGCCGCCCCAAATGGAAACAATCTTTTATTAACTGAGGAGTGGATGAATCGTGCTCTGTGGATACAATGGACTCCTTGGTGTGCAAAAAGGAATGGGGCAGCGATCCACATCAGGACATCAGCAAACCGCAGAAACACACTCACTGAAAGTGAGTCAAGGAGGCCAAGGCAAGGAGATGTGTGCGAGACCATGGTAGGGGAGGGAGTGTCCAGTCCTGGGTTCAGGAACAGGCGTTTATTTCTAAGAAATGGCCATTCAACTGACACCAAAGGATGTGTGGGAGGTTGGGCAGGCCTGGCCTGGTCATGCAGTTCTGTAACTCCCACTGCTTGGGAAACTGAGGCAGGAGGAGAGATCTGCCTAGACTACAGAGAACGTTCAATGATAAATACAAAGATCAGCTGGAGAGAAGGCTCAGCAGCGGCAACTGTCCCTGGTCCAAATTTTGGAATGGAGTCTGTCTCCAGAGCCAAATCCCAGCAAGTGCATCCACACAGCTGCTGCCCACTCTCCAGGGGGAGCCACACACTCCTCTTGTCCACTGACTCTGGCAGACTGACTCCCACTCCAGCTCAAGACATTTTGCTTGGATTTCAAAAAAAAGAAAAAAAAAAATGTACTGAGTTCATGAGTTACCCAAAGTAAACTGAAACAGTCAGGTGTAGCAGCTCATATCTAGAACCCTAGCATTTGAAAGCACAGGAGGATCACAAGTGGGAGACCAGCCTGGGCTACATATCAAAGACTGCTTCAAAAATAAAATGAATAGGAATAGGAAAATAATTTCTGATAGGAACAGCAGAAGCCACTTACTCTTCAGTGCCTCATGCATCTGGGACTTGTGGTTAGCTGCGTGATACCAGATGATCTCAGCGCCATCTTCTGTCCTGATCTGATTGTTTCTGAGAAAATAATCCAGTATGTTTTCACTCCAGGACCCTAAAATAACAATATTTATATGAAAAAGAATATTTTTGATGGGGTACATATTTAAGGTAGACAACATGATGTTGTGAGATACGCGTGGCAAGTAAAATAGTTTCTAATAACCCGAGGCAAATAAACATGCCCATCATCTCCCCAGTGACCATTTTTAGGTTTTGTTGTTAGTGTGTTTGTGTGTACGCGTACCACACACACACACACATGAAGAGCAGCTAAAATCCCACTAGCATAATTCTCATATACAGTACATTTTCATGTATGTATGGTTCTCACGGTGTGCATTAGATCTCTAGATTCATTCATCCTATACATCTGCTCTCTATCTTTCGGTCATCTCTCCCATAAATAGTCAACATTGTGTTCTCTATTTCTACATAGTTGAGAATTTAAAATCCTACAAATAAATGAGATCATGCAACATATTTTCTTTCTGTGGCTGGCTTATTCCACTAAGCACAATAATATCTCGCCGGCTCATGTGTGGCTACTAGCAAGGGCTACTAGTTAGAGCAGAATGCTATGCTACTGGTAGCGTCTACCACATCTTCTCTACCCATTAGTCTGTTGTTGCAGACTTGGGTGGCTTCCATGCCTTGGCTATTGTGAATAAAGCTCACAGACATTCATTGACAAGGTAGTGGTTTCCGCCCCATGGGTATGTGCCCCGAGTCAGGGACTACTGGGTTACAAGGTTAAGAAAAGGTTTTTTTTTTTTTTTTTTGGTTTTTCGAGACAGGGTTTCTCTGTGTAGCTTTGCGCCTTTCCTGGAACTCACTTGGTAGCCCAGGCTGGCCTCGAACTCACAGAGATCCGCCTGGCTCTGCCTCCCGAGTGCTGGGATTAAAGGCGTGGGCCACCACCGCCCGGCAAGAAAAGGTTTTTATAGAAAGGGGCAAAAGATAGATTGAGAGAGAAAAACCAAACAATCAGGCTAGGAAAAAAACAGACTTACAAAACAGAATATGTATTGTGGCATGTGCGACACATGTAAACATACATCATACTGTAATTAGTAGCCATGCGGTGTGGTCTGCAGAGTGGAGCTGTAAAAAGCATGTAGGAAGAGAACAAAACTGCTAAGAAGCAGACGCTGAAAGCAGAAATTTTACATTGTGTCATCCAAGAACCCGAGTCCACTACATAGAGACAAAGCTGTAGGAAAACCAAGGGTGGTTCCGTGTGTCCTGGTGTCTGTCTGTCCCCACCCCTCCCTGGCCCGCAGCCAAACCAAAAGCCCTGAGGGTAGCTGTCAGTCTCTTCCTTTGAAGCCCCTTCAACAGCACAGAGTCCATGTGTTGCTGCAAATCTGCCTTCTGACCGTGACCCTCCTGCAGCTGAGTGCTTGAACTCAAGGCAGCAATCCCAGGCTCTGCTGGCATAGACAGATATAAGTAATGCACACACTACCAGGTTTTCCTTAATCTCCTCCCCGAGCCCGGTTAGTGCAGCGCTTAACACGGTGCATGCATAATATTCTGCCAACTGTTGGCTTATTAACTCCGCCCAGCAACCTCTAAGAGCCTAAAAAAATGCTATCATCGTACATTGCCAGTAAAATATTAGGGAAAGTTGAGGCTGGAGAGACGGCTTCGTGGTTAACAGCGCTGCTGCTCTTTCAGAGGACCCAGGTTTGATTCCCAGCACCAACAGGAATGCTCACAATCTTCTGTTAACTCCAGTTCCTGGGGACCAACTTCCTCTTCTAGCCTCCATGGGCACTGCACGCATGTGCAGCACAGATTCACATGCAAGCCAACGCTCACATACATAAAATAACAGTAAAAAGTAAATAAATCTTTAAATATCCATACACTGGGAAAAGTCATCTTTGACCAGAAAATAGGACCCAGGAACAGCCAGTGGTTGTCTTTCCAGCCCAGCATGTAGGGTTTCTACTTACCAAATTATAAACCACTCCTTTAGTCAGAAAAGAGAGATTATAAAGACAGTGCCCGCCATCATGCGGCTTAGCAAACACTCTGGAAAAAGAAGGCGACTTGGCTGAAGAGGCCACTGCCCCCAGCAGTCCCACACTACCCCCAGGGTCACCCCACTGCCCCCCGAG